TATATATATATATATATATATATGTGTGTGTGTGTGTGTGTGTGTGTGTGTGTGTGTGTGTGTGACACAAGGACCTTCCATCCAGAGTCCAATTCTACCATCTTTGAGTTTTTTCATCGAAATTGCCTCTGTTGGAAAAACTCATTGGAATCGTCCTGTTGAAAAAACTCATAGGGACCTCCCCCTCCCCCTCCCCCTTTCTTTTTTCCGGCACCACCCAACATAACCCACATATTATGTGACTTCAAGCAACGAATTATAACAACGATCACAAGAATCCCTAGAAGTCGACGAACAAAAACTACTATCCCTATTCATATCAACGATCATAGATTTATCGAATTCTGACGAAGGACCTAGTAAGAGATTATTGCTTAAATTCACAACCTTCAAAGATGGTGGAACTGTGCATGTTAAGTTATTATCTCTAACACTCAAATTCAACAACTCGTTAAAGCTTGAAAAGTCCGGTAAAATTCTAGAAAACTGGTTCAGATTGAAGCCATGCTTCGGTTAATTGTGTCATATTCTGAAGAACATCAAGAGTCCCATTTAGTTTATACTGCTTTTTCCATTTAATCAAAGACTCTGGATGGAAGTATATTGTATGTAAGTATGTATATGTACCCTCTAGTTCAATAAGTTTTACAAAAACAAGAAACAACAAAAACAAATACAAAAAGAGGGGGAAAATATGGTTAGATGATTTTACCTTTGGCTCTACCGGAGATCTTTAACAACATTAGCGACTAGGTCCCATTTTCAAAGTAAAATTCAAACCTGAGGGATGATATCTAGACTTATTGAAATTCAGGTCCCAGTTTCAAAGATTTTACTAAACTGAAGAACCAAAACTAAAATTTACTCTAAATTTGTTTTCAACATGCCTCTTTTTGGGGTTTCTTTTTGACCCGTATATCATTTTTTAAATAAAAAAAATCAAATTTTATATATTTTTTAAATAGATTAATATTGATTTATACAAAAGTTAATAACATTTAAAACATTAAATTTAAAATATGTTAGTGAAATGAAAAATGATTTGATAATTATCGATCGACGCTATCTCTTTTTGACAAACTCTCTCAAACTGTGTTTTATTAATATTTTTAAAGGGCACGTTTTCTATTTTTTACTTTTAGTTTTTTAAGAATCTAAATAATAAAATAAAAAACATATTTAAAGTCAAATTTAACAATTGAAACACGGTATTTTCAAATAAAAAAATGTTAGACTTGTGTCATTAAAATAAATAACACCGTGTTATTATAACTGAAGTTATTTGGACAAAAAACTGATTACTGACAATTTCAATCGTTCTCATACCGAACTCGTATTTATGGACAACAACGTGAGGGGGATTTTTTTTGCCTCGCTCAGTGGCTAATGCTATCTGGGGAGCATCGAACCCTTTACTTGTTTTGTATTTGGTCAAAGTCACTCAAAGTTATAGTTGAAGTTATTCGATTTATGTTATATTTATATCATATTATAGTCATATGAGTTTATCAAGGATCATTGGTCTTTATAAACTATAATATTTTTTTTATAGATATATAAGTATATATACGTCGTTATGAACTTTAGTTTCAGATACTGATATAATATTAAAATTATGTTTGATTAAAAATGTTATACACAAGAGCAGCAAACATATAAATAAATTATCAAAGAATCATAGATAAAGGATTATTATTATTAATTTTATTGGATACACAACTTATATCAGTTATGTTTTATATTAAAATATATATATATATGAAAATTGATTAACTTATAAATGTTTATGAAGTCGACTGACATGAATTGATCAAAATTGGTCGAAAATTGATTTTTAAAAGAGAAAGTTGGGACGTGTTGATCAGGAGAGAGGCTAGATACGGGTCCACTATGGGTTTGAACTCGTGAGATTTAAAATTGTCTAAAATTATAAGGTAAATCTTCTTATAAATTAATGTCGCTGTTCATTTTTTGACTGATGCTCACCCAATTTATTCGAAATTCTCACTTGAAAATAACTCTTACAAAAAGTCCATATTGGAGATTCCATATATGTCTAGTTGTAATATTTATAGTTTGTTCAATTTTGAATAAAAGTTGGACGATGTATGCTAATTCGACAAACCAAACTAAGCTAAAACAAAGGAACCCAATATATATATGGGAATATGATTAAAGAGGGTAAGATGTACACATCATAATTAAACTAAAAATATCAATTAATTATTAGAAAATGGAGACTTAAACTCAACACCACCTATAAAATCCGCATCAAATTTACTTTAGAATTAAGACCAGAGATGTAGAAAAAACCAAAAGTTCAAAGTCACCCCTAAACCCGATAAGCCAACTTAATTTTCAAGTTTTGATTAAAGCCTGGGTAAGATTGAAAAAGCCCGACCAGACATTCTTTCAACCCTAAAGATGATACAAGTTTAAATAGCCCAACTTTTTTGGGTTTACTAAAACGTTAAAACCCAAAAAAGTTAAAAGAAGTTTGAAAGCCTGACCTAGATCTTAAAAAACACAAGATTTATTCAAATTTAAATTTGAAATAAAGATTTTATTGATAGAACATTTTCAATAGGTAATTATATTAACAACTAATATATATTTATATAGACAATTTTCAGATCATTAATCAAATTACTCATGATAGTTTTGTATAAAATTAGTTGTTATGGTTAGAATGATTTGAGATCAATTTAGTCTTCGAAAGATCATCTAATAGAAAACCAGTGAAGGGCCCTAACCTTAGTTTGGTCCACCAACCGTTCAATATCCCAACCGTCTAACCTTGGTTCGACTAACCACGGTTAACTTCCCCTTCCCTCCATATTCCTTTTTAAGCACATCTCCCCGTATGAAGAACCAGCACGATTCCTAGAGAGAGAGAGAGAGAGTTACTGGTAGACTCAACGGCAAAAATCATAGCAGATAGGAACTCGATTATGGCGTGTTACGTTGATGAAGCAGAAGTATGGAAGTGTACCAAACATCCGTCGAAGCGGCGGCGGACCGGAATTTGCCCTAGGTGTCTCCGTGAACGCCTTGTTACACTTTGCCCTGACTGCGCCAACGCTCGCCCCTGTTCTTGTTGTCCGCCTCCTGTGGACTCCGTGTCTTCTACTACTTCTTCTTCGTTTTCTCTCTTCTCGTTTTCCCGAGGCGGTAGCCGTCGCGATTTCACCATCTCATCTGCCGCCACCGGTGAACCAGGTCGTTTATCTAACCATCTTGAAATAGATCCGGCTTTACGTCGATCCAGATCATTAGCGATTCCGTTTCTCCGGTCGAGATCTAGGTACGTTGGAGGCGAGTCTGAGTTGGTTGTGGACAACAATAAGCCGGTTCCAAAGGTTAGCCGGAGTAAAATTCATTTCTGGTCGGTGTTTACGCTACACAAGAGTAAAAAATGCGATGTACACGCTGACGGAATCGATGATGAATCGAATAAAAGTGATGATTTGGCCTCTGCTGATGATTATTCGAGAATGATGCGATCTAGATCTGTAGCTGTCGGAGCCGTAGACGGCTTTGGTACAGCGGCTTCAAAACGGAAGGGATGGTACTTTCCGAGTCCAATCAAAGCATTCCGTCAAACAAAAACGTCTAAAGCTGTCACCGTTTCGTAGAGGTTTAACTTTTTGTTACAACGCATAATCGCATTACCAAGTTAACTAAATTTTAAGCCTCTCTTCATTCTCAAACACATTTGTCTATGATTGTATATGTTAAGTTTACTTTTCCTTTTCTAATATAACAAAAAATTTGAACTAAAACTGTTGTATGCAATAATCATCATACAAGCTGAAGAACTTGTAATGGTAACAAATATTTATAAATCATAAGGAGTTATACGCTTTATAAGTAGAAAAGATTCATGATTCTGTCCCGAAATAGTTTCCATATATAATTCTCTGTTTTTTGTTACTGTAAGTGTATTGTTTATTCCATGTTTAATGTGCTTTAGAGCAATTTGTTCTATTCCTTTGACCATAAGGTTTTTGGTAAACGACGTGTTGGTTGTGACTTCTGTAAACACGAAGGACTAAAACCTGTCATGAACTAATGGCGTGGGTTTTAGAAAAAAACAAATTGGTGGTTGAAGTCTATTATGGCAACTAACCTACCAATTAATCCCTTGTATCTTGAGCAAACTCGGAAAGTTTGAAATCTAAGCTGACACTTTCCATTTACCAAATTATTATCGAGCTAGTGTTTATCGGGGTCACTTATGCTCTGGTTGAGCACTGTAAAAATTCATGATCTTATTTGTTAAGAGACATAGCAATGATAAAAATCTTATCTGGTAAACACTTACCAGTTTAAAGACGTTTACCAACAAATCAATTTGATAACCTGAAAGGTTATCTAGATATGGTAAATGAGGTTGATGCTCTCACTACAAGCCTTTGGTAAACGGTTTTCTAAATAAATATAGTGTTTTTTTTTGTATGTCAAAATTGAACATGGACTTTTACATTTTAAATTTTAATGAGTTGGTGTGATCTCAAAAAGATATGTTTAGCGGGAGTTGAATGAATATTTTAATTGGAGTTATTATGATCATACATGTTTTATGTATTAAATTAGCAAGTGGTAACAAAAATATTTGTAACATGGTACAATCATTTGAGTTTTCTACTTTATTATACAAAAAATAGGTGTAACATGTTGTTTATTTGAACTATTGTGATAAACATATATATAGAATAATACATATTAAGCAAAAATATTACATTGATCGATACATTTAAATAAGCTATACGTGAATGTGACCAAATAGCAAAGAGGCATAACGGCTTCATTGTGTTTTGATTAGACTATTGTTTGAGACAAGTTTTTCATTCACACGTGTATTGGAGAATAGTAAAAAAATCTTCAGTTGTCTTCAAAAGACTCAAACTCAAGATCCGTTAGGAAGGATTCCTAAAGTTTCAAGTCCTAGAGTTTAGTTTCATATTAACTTTGATGGAGATATGATTATGAAAGTTACTCTTGTTTTGCATATGGGTTTTTTTTTAAAGTTGTTTCATGAATAATTTTGTAATGGTTTTCTTAACTATTTTTCATATAACTTTTTGTTACAGGGACAAAGTCAGGTTTAGTTATTGACTTATTTTGTTTCTTGAGTTTGTTTTCAAAATCATGTGATGAAAGACGTAATTATGAAAGTTGCTCCTATTTTATACGTGGGATTTATTTAGAAGTTGCTCCTATTTCATATGTGGGATTTATTTAGAAGTTGCTTGTTTGGTAGTTTGAAATCATGAATAATTTTGTAATCATGTTCCTTGATGAGTTTATGCTTTTGGATATTTGTTAATCAAGAAATCCATCCATTGGATGAAGAGGATTGTTTGCTCATCGATTCGTTTCTAGTGGATCGCTTGTCTAATGATCCATAGTAAGTTTTCTCACTAACAATCGATAGGTTTTATATATATAAAAAATTGACCCATTTTTACGAATTCGATTATACTTAATAGTTCCATCGTTATCTCTAGAGTTTGACAAATTTATTGAAGACGAAAAAAAAAAGTCAAAAACCATGCTTAAATGGATAAATAAATTTTGTATCTTTCCTATTTCATTAAATATAACTAAGTACATGTATATATATAATTCAAACTCATAAATCTTAAATTATTCTTGAATAAAACAAAGCATGTTTAGAATGCTTTGGTTAACATCCATATTGTGATCTTTACTAAAACTTATCATCTGGTTAAATAAGTAAATATTGTCTCTTATCGGGTAAAAACACGCTTACCCAGTGAAACGATGATCTTTACCAACGATCTTATCTCCCCAATTTTGCTAATTGAGAATCTTATATGAACAATTGAGGATGGTAATTTTTATCCGATTAGCACTTATCAGGTAAGAAACGTTTATACTATGTTATTTTCATGACCGATAATCTTAGTCGAAAAGATAACATTAAGTTTGTATAGTTGTATATTGATTGGGGGAGGGGCAATATCTTTGATTCACAACCTCAAGAAAAGGTTTGAAATAGATATGTTACATGCACCTTATCATCTCCCTTTTTTAGCAACATTCATTAGCCTTAACTTTTTGATGGTTGGGCCATCACTTTCTTATTCTAATAATTTAAGCATCCCTATTTCATGCAATCCTTACTTGATCATGGTTGAAAGATTCTATGTTGATTTTTCATTAATAAATGGTTCATATTTATTCAAATAATCAGTTTTTATTTTATATTTATTTAAATTAATAAATTAAAGATCTTGAGTTATAATTTTTATATTTACTCAAGATTTTCGCTATAATAATTTGAATATTGTTTTGTAGTTTTTTTTTAAATAAAAAATCAATACCTATTTAAATCCATGGAGACCTCCTCAGAGTTTGTATGAAATTAATAACTCATCCCAGCATTATCTAAATTGCATGTGACCTTGCCCTTTGATTTACAAATAAAAACAATTTGACTCAAATCAATGTCGAATTAATCGGATTGTCCCTATATTTTAATATCTCACTATTTCATAAATTATGATATGACATCTTCTAGAATAGTATGTTTACATAATCTCTTAAAATATGAGAGGGGTATAATATTATTGGTGACTTTAGTATTATCAATCATTTGGTGTAATTGTGATTTACTTGAGATCGATTGAGGTCATGAGGCAAACGTAAGGGAGTCAAGAGGTGCGGAGTGTACACTCACAGATATTGTCCATGTCGCATTAGATCACCATTAAGGTGGGGGTCAGAGGCGGTGCTCCCTTGCGGGGTTCCAAGGGATAAAGCCCCTTGGCAGTGGTCCCGCTTAGTGAAATTTTCACTAAGTAGAAGTCTGAGATTTGATCATTCTGATCAGATTTCTAAAAATCACCTTGAAAATTGCGTAAGTATATAAGTCTGGACAATGCACTGGACTTAAGGAATGTGCATCCAAACATAGGAATTTGACTAAGTCCTAACTCTAGACCAATGGTGTCAGAAATCTAAACCTTCTGGTCACACTTATGTTATACGTAAATTGACTAAGTCCTGACTCTGGACCAATGGAGTCAGAATATGAACCTTCTGTTCTGATTTATGGTTTGTGTCGACCAAGTCCTTAACTCTAGACTGTAGAGCCAAACTTAGTTCTAAATGGAGTCAGGCGATCTTTGAACTTTGATTCAGTTGTACCTGCTCTTCAATCCTATCCATTAACAATTGTAACCACTTATCTGCCCCTAAACGTCGATCTTTCATATAAATACATAAAATGTGATCTGATGAATATAACAAAATCAGTGCCTTATTTCATGTATGAAGTTTCTAGATTATCCTGATACTGATTTCGTGATTACCTAAGGCATTTGAGGGGCATAATACATTATTTGGAAAGTGAATTCCAATACATGATCTAGAAATCTATCCAAGAATTATACAACCACAAACCCATATACCTAACATATAATGTGGTATTTACATGGTTTTTTTGGGTAAATATAATTTCAAGTTTTATACGTAGTTTAACCTTAGAATAGCTTTGATGAAGTATTTTGAGTATTGGTTCGGTCGGGTATCACATTTGGCTAAAAATCAAAATTGATTAAAGTTGCATTACTAACGGCCGCAAGGAAAATAGCCCCATGGGGGCGAGCCCTTTACAAAAAGTGGGCAGAAAGTTGGGCCTAAGTGGAGTTAGGCATGTATTTTAGCCTTTTTTTTCTTCATTTCTATCTTCACCAACTCATTCCTCTCTCGGTTGAAGAACGTTTCCTCCTCTAAATCAATTTCTTCAAGAGCATCTAAGAGCTTGGCAACTAGAGATTCAAGTCTTGTGGGTTGAAATTCAAGATGTTCATCATCTTTTCACAACTATTGATCATATTTTAAGGTTTTCCTAAAATCCCGTTAGTGAGTTTATTCTAACTTTTATACTTGTCAAAATACTTTATTTTAACCTCTTAGAACATCCATCTTTGTGTATTTTACACATTTTTGGATTTTGACCAATTTATGGCATTTTGGAAGATTTGGGGTTTTTACCTTTTTTTGCTAGTAAATGTTGGATCTTAAGTCGCAATGTTTGGAAGATAAAGATCTTGGTTTCTAACCTAGGTTTAACCTAACGTATCAAGGTTTGGAATATTATGTTGGAGATAGCGAACGTTGTTGAGTTTAAGTAACGTCCGTTCCTAATTATAAACTTGTGTACGATTTGGAATATTACGTACTAGTGTTGAATCTTAGATTGTGATTATAGGTAATCAAGTGTTGACTTTTAGAAAGAATCTTTATCCTTATTTGATATTTTATTGAAAATTTTAAATTGGTCGGTTTTTTTTTTAAATTTAAGGGTGTTACGTTAATAACCGAATGTATAACTTTTGAGGATATGAATAAGTGAATCACTAATTAAATAATGAGTAAATTACAATTTTTGACCCTATAGTTTGTAAATTATTGCTATTTTAGTTCTTATGATTTACAATTTATTTTTGTTTTGATCCATGTGTTTTACAGGTATTTACTGTTTTGGTCCTTGTATTGATTGTATGAATTAATATGGGGACAAAAATAACAGTAAATTGCAAACCGTAGTAACGAAAATAAAAATTTCTAAACCACAAGGACGGAAATAAAAATTATTAACAAACCACAGGAACAAAAATTATAATTTACTCTTAAATACTTTTTTTTATTAATTTGAATATCCAACCCGCTATGCGAGCCGACTAATCTCATGACGACTACCTGCTTTGCAGATAGCTCGAAGTCACCACATTTGAACCTCTGTTGCCACAAGAGGATTTTTATTCCTTCTTGGATTTGAACTTGGGACCTCCTGCTACTTTTAATCTTTGGAGCCAAGCTCAAACGAATCAGACACCACCC